AATGAAGAAAGAAAGAGAAAAAGTGACAAAATTTTGCAAAAGTTCACCTCTTGAAGAGAGGATGAACTTTCTTGTTCAAAAACTGTTTTCTAGTACCCTCAAAGTTCTTGATTAAGTCTAAGAATCCTTGCCAAGGAGCTCCAAGTCAAGGATTAATGGTGCTTAGGTGGTGGGTGTATAAAGGGAGATGTGAAGAAGTTGTAAGCCTTTGAGTTCAAGGTCTAAGCCTAGAAAATGATTTTTCAACTCTTTAGAATGAAGTATAGAGCTGTATTTAGAGAGTTTTGACGGAAACAAAATATCTGAGAAATTTGCTGAGGAAACCCAAAGGCAAAATATCTAAGATATTTGTATAAAATTCAGAAAAAATGTTGAATTTTTTGAAACTGTTTTGTTTCCCAGAAAAATCATCCGGCCAGACCAAAAAATCATCTGGTCAGACCAAAAAGTGTCTGGCCAGACAAAAAAAGTGTTTGGCCAGACAAAAAATTGTTTGGCCAAACAACTTTTCAAAGGGAAAAACATGGCTTTTTCCTAGAAAATTCTCATTCCTTCCACTCATTTTCATTTTTCCCTTGCTCAATTTACTAAGAAAATATAACACTTGAATTTTGAAAATGCGAGCCTTGGACCTTTGTGGAAATGTTTAAAAAGGTGTTTAAGAAGGTCTAAAATATTTTGCCCAAAACAAGTGTAAGGTAAGGATTAAAGCTTCACTCCTAAGCTTCCTGCTAAGCAATTCGTAAGATAGCACATTTCAACTGTCATCATCGGGAGTTCAGAAAAAAGGCCCAATCTTAAGGCCGATCAAAATAGGGTGTCTACAATTGCCCCTCTTTTACAGAGCTTGATACGCCATTTCATGACGTGAGTGAATATCAAAGCTCAAAGATGATGCTTTTGACGAGGCCGTAAGACTCGGCCAAACAAACAAAAAGTAGATGTAATTGGTTGAACCCGAAGGTTGCCTACATATTCTTTTGCAAGAAATCAAACCAGTGTAGTTTAGGGGCATAATGCAAATGAAATGCAATTGAGAATTGGACTTACATACTACGCAAAGCCGATTTTGTTTGAAAATTGGGCTTACATGTACCACACTGCTGGTTTAAACATCAATGCTATGTGATGTAATAATGATAAAGATGCAAAGATGGCATGTGAAAGAGGCAAACCTCATGCAAATGACATGAAGCATACTAACAGTTGCAAATGAAGTAAAGAATGCTATTCAAACATATTTTCTACAAGAGTGATATAAAACAAGATGCACACACATGTTTTCTACATGAAATAAAGAAATGCAAATCCAAATGTGCTTCATGCAAGAGGAGGAAAGGTGGCCAAGGTCAAACACATTCCAAACATGCAGTAACGTCAGAGGAGGAACACACTCTAACTATGCTGAAATTGCAAGAAGAGAAACACACTCTAATATGAAACCACGAGAAAAGGAACACACTCTAACCGCATTAAAATCATTAGAAAAGAAACACAGTCTAACCAATTTGAAATCGCAAGAAAAGAAACACACTTTAACTACGCTGAAATTGTGAGAAGAGAAACAGGCTCTAACCATGCTAAAAACGCGAGAAGGTGAACAAGCTCTAATCGCACTGAAATCGCAAGAAGAGGAAGGGTGTTAACCAAGAGGAAACAAAGGTGGTGTTAATTGACAACCCTAACCATAATTTCATATGGGAAGAGGAAGGTATTAACCAAGAGAAAACAAAGGTGGTATTAACCGACAACCCTAACCATACTTGCATACAGGAAGAGGAAGTTATTAACCAAGAGAAAACAAACCAAGCACCCCTTACATGTAAAACTTAAAAGCAACAAGATAAAGAATGCAATGCATGCAATACAACATGCGTTAGACGCAAAAAAAGGGTATACCTTATAGTTTCATAAACAGGCGTACAAGGTGATTGAGAGTTGGACTTATGTGCTTTCGTACTGCCTTGAGAGCTAATGATCTATGCAATGTAATGCAATACAAAGATGATAAAATGTGAAAATGGCAATATGCGAGGCAAGCCTTGTGCAAATAATGATGAAGCATAATGAAAGATGCAGATATGATGAATGCAACCTTTTTTAATGCAAACGGGATCATGCAAGGGGATGCACTTTATTTCAAAAACACTAAAAGTGAAAAGGGTGCATGATGCATATCTAAAAACTTGGATGGCATGGAAAGCAGTGCATAATGAATGATGTGTGGATATGAATGGTATATAGAGCGATAAATGATATAACTCTATGAGATGAGCATGATGGAGAATGGTGCATCACATATCACAGGAAATGAACGCAAGGTACTGTGCAGGTTATACTACATTTATGCTACAAAAATTTGACAACCTATGCAACTTATTAAAGTAAAACCAACTCCATAGGTTAAACCTAAACAACAATCGAGGCAACTAATATTTACAGGTACAGAACAAAGTTGAGAGCTTCCACTTCAGGGTATTGTACTTTTGTTGGAGGCAATTTGGTTACTTAGAGAAGTAAGAAACATAACGTGGTTGCCAGGTCTAGTACAGAAGCTGAGTTTAGAGCTATGACTCAAGATGTGTGTGAGCTCTTGTGGATCAAGTTGTTATTGCATGATCTGGTAATTAACCAGAAAGACTCCATGCGGCTATATTGTGATAATAAGGCTTCCATCAACATAACTCACAATCCTGTTCAACATGACAGGACAAAGCATGTTGAGATTGATCGTCACTTCATCAAAGAGAAGCTCACTAGTGGCACAATATGTACTCCATTTGTGAAGTCTGGTGAACAACTTGTAGATATTCTTACTAAGGGAGTTGGCAATAAACCATTTCATAATATTCTTGGCAAGCTGGGCATGAGAGATATCCTTGCACCAACTTGAGGGAGAGTGTTAGAATACATGTTAGGATCATTCTATTATTTGTTTCCTTATTTAGATTATATTTTGATTCCTTAATTAGTGCCTTAGGACTTTCTTATTCTATTAGCTATTATTTCCTTATTCTATTATTTCCTTATTTGCGCCTCCAAGGTTTCCATTGTAAGCTACCTATTATCAATATAAAAAGGGGTGATTGTCTAATCATTCTTTAAGTTAGTTTTCTCTCAGATAAAAGGATAACAAAAATGACATAATTACTTGTCTTCCGACTATTCTGCTCTCCACAACCCCTACTTAATGCCAACATACAACAATAAGGAAACTGTCAAACAAACCAGATAAAATTACATATGTGAAAATCTGTTAGAAAAATAATCAAGAACTTACAAGTATAAAATCAAAGAACTTTCTAATCTCAAATAGGTTTATAAACAAGACAAACTCACAGTCGGGATGATTCACCAGCTTGATTAACTCGCAAGCAATCAGAAACAAGAATCCTATATTAAAACACATAGCATAATATGCATAACATACTTTGCGCTGCATGCGATTCTGCACCAGGTGAGCATCCAAATCCACCATCCAGGTTTTTGCAACTCACAAAGTACTTTACTGCTTTGTCCACATTAATTTTATCCATACTATGCAACAAGGCAAGAGAGCAAATTGCAATATAAGAGAACCTAGAGAAATAATAGTTCTGGTTATAATGTTTCCCATGAATAACTAACAACTTCGAGATGAGCAGAGGATGCAAAAAAAAACTAGTTGGGAAATCTAATACCTTGTATCAACTTCACCCCACGTCACCTGAAAAGGATCCATCTTCATTCTGTAGCCTAGCAAGATCAAGTATAACCACAAAAATAAAAAATAAAAAAAATAAAAAAAATTATAGAGATGCAGTCAATGATGGAACATCTAAGGAGGAAACTTTTTTATTTTCACTGCGCTTCCATATCTGAACTATTAAGGTAGTATTTCTTCCATATAAGAGAACTGAAAGAAAAAGATTTGAAACACGTACTTAAATATCAACCAAGTTTTGGTACCTGAATGAAAGCAAACTTGGATATCTCATAGCAATGTGGTAAAAAAAAATAAAATCGACATGCTAGAAAACTTCAAAGCCCACTGAACCACATGCTGAAGGATACAGTTTGACACCTTATCAATATCAAGTATATGCATCTTGTCAAAAAGTGCTAAAACTTGAATGCCACTGAGGGTATATAGTAGATGTGGATCATGTCCAATGTCCAATGTCATATGCTCTAAAGCAACATATATCTAGAAGATAAGTTTCAATTGTTAAGTAATTAGACATTATACCAACAGTATGGAATTCAATTTTCAGAAATCAAAATGTAGGGGGCACCATCACAGTTTACACCGGCTCCATAAATAACCAATAAAAAATGAAAGTACTTCACGTTTGAAATGAGATATACTATGGTATCATTATCACATACCAGATTCATGTTGGAACTTCATGACCTAAGAAGCACGGACACTTCTAAGAAAGTGACATATCCGTTTTGTGTCTATGTCGGACATCGACACTCTTAGGACACGTGTCCGACACTCTTCAAAATGTGTCATATTTTTTAAATTTTTTTAAAGGGCCAAACACTCTTTAGACACTTGGAGGACACACGTGTCAATCACTTAAACACACATGTCTATCGATTAGACACATGTGAAACTAATTATAAGTTTGAACAAAACAACTTAAGATACAATAATAAAACAAAAACTATATAAATTTATAGAAATTAGTGTACACGTGTCCGACACTCTTCAAAATGTGTCCTATTTTTTAAATTTTTTTAAAGGGCCAAACACTCTTTGGACACTTGGAGGACACACGTGTCAATCACTTAAACACACATGTCTATCGATAAGACACATCCGAAACTAATTATAAGTTTGAACAAAATAACTTAAGATACAATAATAAAACAAAAACTATATAAATTTATAGAAATTAGTGTCATATTGCATTTTTTATTATCTTTGAATGATATATATAATATATATATATATAATTATATATTTCATGCGTGTCCCCCACGTGTCGTGTCTTACATTTTTTGAAAATTAACGTGTTGGCGTGTCTGTGTCGTATCCGTGTTGTGTCACGTGTTTGTGTCCATGCTTCTTAGTTCATGACCCATGAAACTACCTCCTCAGAAGTCACTTCATCAATCTTCCCTAAAACATCCAGAGTGCTCGGTCCCCAATATACTCCATTGATTCGTAGATGTTACGTCACCACAGATTCAAAATCATCCTTCTTCTAAGGGGAAATTTTCCAAAATTTGAATGGATATGAGAAAACAAGTGAACTACAAATGTATTATTTTCCAAAAAACAGAACATCCAAATTAAAGAAAAATTACAGGAAGCACACCTTTTCTACTGAAAAAATATAATTGACATGCTTTTCAACTTCTAGCTCCCCCATTCTGCAATCAACATAACACATAAATATCAACATTCTTGAAACAAAGACAGTAAAGACAAGTTCTGTCTTTTGTTTTCTAGAAACTTTAGTGATGTAGAGTACAAGAAGCTCAAGGAAGGCTAAATTCAAAGAGCAATGATATTTGGACATTGGCGATTTCAAAGAGAAATTGGCATCTGGACATTGACATGATTTCAAAGAGAAATTGACAGGAGTCTTATATAATTATAACCAATCCAAACCAAGCCAAGCCTTGAGTCCCATCAAATGGAGTTGGTTGCATGAATCCTTCTTCTCCACTTGACTCTATCCAAAGCTATTTCGTTAGTCAAATTAAGGAGATTCATTTTCTATTTACTACACTAGTTTACGTCAATCTAGGTTTACCCCTTCGCCTAACACTACCATCTACCGTCACCGTATCGCAACTCTTTACTGCTGCCTCTGTTGGTCTCTATTGTATATGACCAAACCATCTCAATCTATTCTCTCTCAACTTATCTTCTATCAGTACGACTCCTACCCATTCTCGAATATACTGATTCCTAAGTCTTTTCTAGTTTTGCCACACATCCACTTTAGCATCCTCATCTCAGCAACATTTATCGTATCTATATGTTATTTCTTAATTGCCCAACATTCCGTCCCATACAACGTCGTTGGTCTAATAGCCGTTCTATAGAACTTTTCTTTTAGTCTAATGAGTACTCGTTTATCGCACAGTACTCTAGACATACTCCTCCACTTAAGCCACCCCGTTTTAATTCTGTGGACCACATCCGCTCTAATCTCCCCAATCGTTGTGATAATCGATCCTAATAACAAATATGTTCGCCTTTAGATAGTTCTTGGTTCTCAATCTTCACTTCTCTATTTCCTTTGTGACTGTTTCTAAAATTACATTTCATATACTTTGTCTTAGTTCTGTTTATCTTAAATCTTTTAGATTCAAGTGTTTTTCTCCAAATCTCCAACTTAGTGTTAACTCTTACTCTAATCTTATCCACTAACATGATATCATTTGCAAAAAGCATACACCATGACACATCATCCTGCATATTGCGCGTCAATTCATCTATAACTAAAGCGAAAAGATAAGGACTTAAGGTTGATCCTTGGTGTAACTCTACAGTAATTAGAAATTCACTCATCTCTTTAGCAGGCAATCTAATAGGGGTCACCACACCTTCATACATATCCCTAGTCACATCAATGCAATCTTTTGTCACCCCTTTCTCCTCTAACATCCACCAGATTATATCCCAAGACACTCTATCATATGCTTTCTTAAGATCAATAAAAACCATACGAATGTCTCTTTTCTTTTCTCCATACTTTTCTATTATTCTTCTCAAAAGATAGATCGCTTCCATTGTCGTTGTTGACCTACCAGTCATAAACCCAAATTGATTCTCTAACACCTCTGTTATATTTCACAATCGACGTTCCATTACTCTCTCCCACACTTTCATTGTGTGACACATTAACTTGATTCCTCTATGCTGTGTTTGGTTGGGAGATTTGGAAGGGATTTGAAAAGAAAAAAGGAAAAGGCAAACGAAATGTGAATAAAATATGCTCATATTTCACCTAATTTCACACACATTTTCCCTTTCCCCTTTGCAAATCACATCCCAAATCCCCTAACCAAACACAACGCTATAGTTGTTGCAATTCTGGACATCTCCTTTATTCTTATATATTGGTACTAAAATACTTTTCCTCCACTCCTCGAGCATTTTCCTAGTTAGTAAAATTTTGCTAAATAACTTAGTCAACTAAACAACCCCCTTCTTACCCAAACACATCCACGCTTCAATAGGTATATTTTCTACAAGACCCTTGGCAACTATTATTCCTACCCCATTCCTGTGTCTATCCTTGCCACTATAATATAGCTTAAAATCGGTATCCTCTATTTCCCGAGCTTTCTCACATGTCCACTTAGTTTCTTGTACGCAAGCTATACTAACTCTCCTACTAATCATGACATCTACCAATTCTATAGTCTTACCAGTTAAAATTTCTATATTCCATGTGGCTACCCTAAACCTATAATCTTGGCCTAGCTTCTTTATCCATGCTTGTCCACAAAAATGTAGAAACCTTTGCCCATTTTTCACCACACCCAGGCGTCCATATGGCGCCCATTGCTCACTTTTCGAAACACCTAAAAACAGGCGCAACGCGTCACTTAAGGGAAATGACCTAGCATTAATCGATTCAGAGTAAATCTTATATAATTATATTTATAGTATTATTAAAGTCTTATTTTATGATTATTTTTATGTTTTCTAAGATTTTTGGGTCAGGGGTATTTTGATAATTTTCATATTTCTTATCATGCATGGGCTATAGGGGTCGCCCATGGGTGATTCTATTTACACACCAGCCTTTGTTTCAATACACACCATTTATTTTGTTCGGATATCAACTTTCGAACAAGGGGTGACCATTGGCTCAATGGTAAAATCTTAGCCTAATAACCTTGAGGTAATGGGTTCAAGCCACAGGACAACCACTTTGCGCACTACGCCAAAGGTTAGGTGTGTACCAAATCTTTCTTCTCCCAAACACACATTAATGTGTACAAATTAGGCGTTATTTTTTTTTTATCAACTTTCGAACAAAATATAAATTTACCCCCGAACAAAATATAAATGTTAGAATATCAACTACCGAACCATTTTTTGGTTTGAACAATTGATTTTTGTTTAGAAGTTGATATTCGAACATTTTGTTTTTGTTCGGAAGTTGATATCTGAATGACACAAATGGTGTATTGAGATAAAATATGGTGTGTGAATAGAATTACCCGTCGCCCATGGGTCAACTTGTATGTCAAGTTATTTAATTAGTTTTGGTCTAAGATTGGCTTTGAAAATAAAAAATTGGTAGTTTCCTATTTTGGAGTCCTAGTTGGTTACGGAAGTCGCTAAGGTATATATAAAGTCTTCTAATTCGATAAAGTTGATACTTTAGAGAAATTTCAGAGCTTTTGAAGCTTCTATATGGATTTTGTTATGTGTGTGTGTGTGTGTGTGTGTGTGTGTTGAGAGAGAGAGAATCTTGAATTCATATGCATAAAACCAAGAAACCTAATGACAATACCATGCTTGAAGATACCCTTAGGGGAAAAAAAAACATAATAAAACCTATTAAAACATAGAATAAGCAAACAAAATAACCCATAGTGGTTAATATATTCATGTAATTAAATATCATACCAAGTGCACAAGGCATCCATACCCCGTTGTTTAGGTAATTGAGATTATTAGACGGCAGTAATTAATAAATATATTAAATGAACAATAACTTAGGCCTCCTACCTCCATTTTCAGATTATCTAACTATAGCGTAGACAATTCCAACAATGGATGTGTTTCTCCTATGGAGGTCTAGAAAATCGGAGTTAAATGATGGGAAAAACAAGAACCCACCTAAACAATGATGAGATAAAGTCCAACATGGGATATGTGTTTAGTCCACCATGGAATCCACGCTAATTGCATTAAAACTTAAAAGTGACATTGGCAAAAGAAGAACCACCAAATTCTTCAAATAATTATTACAGGAATCTAGAGAGTTGTCAGAGAAAACAACACTAAGAAAGGATTCTCGGTTTGGGAGTTTGAGCAAAATTTTGGTTTTGAGGTTTCAAGAAAAGGTAATTTCTAGCTGTTAAGGTACTAAAATTGCGAAATAATGTTGAATAACCCACTAAACTTTGCATGCACGCCCATCTAGGCACAAGAGAGTTGTAGCTAAAAACAACACTCTAAAAGATTTAGTTTGGGAGTTGGCACAACATTGGTCTAGGAACACTTGATTTCTAAGAAAATATTAAATTTGTTTTCGGAGTTCTCTACATATTGTTAATGCTAGGACTAGCATAGGTTGGCAATTTCATGATTGTGTAATGTGTGCCTTGTTAGAATAGGAAATAGTATTACTTATATTTTATTCTTATTTGATTTTATTTTCCCTTGACTGATGTTGATTGGTGTAATGAGCTGGCCCATAATTTATGCCTTATGGCACTCCTGTAATTACTCATTATTATCAATATAAAAGGGGATGAGGTCTAACTCATTCCCTATCTCTTTCTCTTCTCTAAACTTACATGGTATCTGAGCCATGCCCTAGCCAACTCTTCTTCTCTGTTACCCATCACTACAGGTGATCTCCTCTCCCCTGTATACCATACGACAACCCCCAAACAGCCATCCGACAGCCTTCAAGTAACCCCACAACCTCGTCTTTCCTTCCTTTACCCCCGACAGCCTCCACCCAAGTCTCTTAGTCCCTTCTCTCCCTTCGGCAGCCATCACCCAGTCTTCCCTCTCCCTCGGCAGGCCTCTCCAGCCACTGCCGAGGGTTCTCAGGGGGCCAACCAACCTTCTTGCTGGTCTGGTCGAGGTCGCCAGTCCCTCTAGGGTCGCCTGGGGTCATCACATCTCTTACGCAAAGTTCTGATGATGTAATACGAAGTTGCTTCTCTTATGAAGTGGTCTGGTGACGTAATACAAAGTCTTCTGGTGAGGCAAACATAGTACCGAAGCACACACACACATAAAAAAAAAAAAAAAAAAAAAAAAAGCTGGATTCTTAATTCTTTATGCTTTTATAGTTACTGTTGTGCTTGTTCTCATTTTTTGGGTTTGTGATTGGCATCGTGTTTGACAGTGAGTCTACTACCTCACAGCCATCTCAAGGCGAGAGTTCTGTTATCCCCTCCACTATAATTGATAACCTCAACACTAGCTTTAAAATCACCACCTCCCTATTCAATGGTCAGAATTACCTAGCGTGGTCGCAGAGTCTGACTATTATCTTAAAGAGCAGACGGAAGATGGGATATGTTGATGGGAGGGTCTAGGCACCCAGTATCACAAACCATCGTCATGACTAGTGGGAGATCATCAATTCTCTGATTATGGGCTGGTTGATCAATTCTATGGTTCTGGAGATTAGAGAGGGCTATTTGTCTATGGACATTGC